TGTACATATGCAGTTTTTGTTTTATATACTGAGATTCGTATCCAAAAAAATTCGGAACTATTATACTAAAAAAAATGTCATGCACAGAAGAAAAAAAATTATACAATTGCAATTGTGAAAGATACCTTATAAAACCAATATGCACAGTATACCGTAATACCAATTAATGCTGTTGCATTAAATAACTCTTTGACTTTTTGCAAAAATGTCGATTGGTAAACGTTCATTTGACGATACGAATGAATAGATCCCGATGGTATTTGTACAGCAGTATATGGACTCTGACTTTGAAGAGCATTGCGATCAGTTATATTGTCAACAGATGCTAGTTTGAAAGCTGTTTTAATCTCTTCATCTGTGAGGCCTTTCCTCTTAAGAAATTCCTGCTTTTGCACCAATGGACTTGATGACACTTTAGGATTTTGTAGAAATTGCACTGCAGTTTTCACCTTAATAAATTTTAATGCTTAATAAGTTTTAATAAGTCATTATGCAATTTATGTTGATAACATGCAAACATTTATTCATAAGATACAGCTTTGCCTCTGTCATATGTATATATAACTAGAGGTATGCATAATAATCTTTTAATCAACTTTACAAAATAATTAGGGATATATCCTGCAATTTTTAAATTTACATAACCCAATGTAATTAGCGATAACTTACCAAATTCTCCCGTAACGGAAGAGTAGTATTATTGTTTGTATCTTGATCGGTCATTCTGACTAGGCTTTGACCATTCGACTCTCTCACTTCTTATGATCAAAACGACATTACTATGCAAAGTCCTACCTATGTATATTGCAAACTGCAAATCACATTTTCCTGATATAACAATTTCAATGCACGCGTATATGTATGTAATGCCAGAGAGAAGCGTGAGAGCGGCCACGCCGACCTTTTGCGTGGGACCGGCGATCTCCCCCGTACACTAGCGCTCCACGTCCACGTTTTCAAAAAAAGAACTACGCACCACGTCTATTCAAGCGCCGACGGGAGAGAATAGGCGCGGTGTGACCAGCTGATATAGGCCGGGCTCGACGAAGCTCCGAAAAGCAACACGCTGGATTATTACCAATATATCTGCAATCTTTGTATTCTTTAATGCTAGTCTCATACTACCTTGAAAAGAATTAAACGATAAAATAATTTAAAATATTGTTGTATGGATGATAATGAAAAGGAGGAACATCCAAATCCTCCGCCGACGGGAGGCGTGATTTCTCGAAAAATGCGTTTATATACAGTAGCAATTTCACGTGTCCTTTAATGCGAAGCATATATATGCTTTCTCGAGAAGACCTTATTAATAAAACATTCTATAACATAATTAATTGTTACATAATAATTAACAAACGATTTTCAGTATTTATTATGTTTTATCGTAAGAAATAAGTTGCCGCGCCTTATACGTAAATTATTTATTTGTCATAATAAATTTGGAGTAATTTTAATGTTACATTATAATTAAATAATAGTTTAAATTTAATTACGCATCTGTGGAGATGCACAAAGGATCATAAATATTGTTAAAAGTACATATAGAGATGAGAGGTTAAACAAAAGCCGGCTTTCGCAGCGTCAGAAACTTCGTTTAAATCGAATAAAGTACCAGGAGCGCACGTTAACAAGTAGGTGGCAGAGGTATTCGGGGCGGAGGCCGCCAGCGCGCCATGGAGGGGGAGCCGCTGCCCCCACCCACGCATATATGCTGCTTTTGCGCCAAGAGGCGGGGCCTACGCGCCGTATGAGAGTGGGAGATTCCATGCCTCTTCGCTCAGCAGCTTTTCACCTTACCAACAAGCCTCTGTCGATACGCGCGCTGGTTAGGATTCCGTGCCACCTCTTTGCTCAACATGTTTTTCGCGTATCGGCGAATTTTTCAGCCTCTATATCGAGACGCGCTAGCTAGGATTAGTAGGATTCCGTGTCACCTCTTCGCTCAACGTGTTCTCCGTGTATCGGCGGGAGTTTTCGAGCTTCTGACGAGGCCCGCTGTCCAGGATTCCGTGCCTCTTCGCTCAGCAGTTTTTCACCTTACCAACAAGCCTCTGTCGATACGCGCGTTGATTAGGATTCCGTGCCACCTCTTTGCTCAACATGTTTTTCGCGTATCGGCGGGAGTTTTCGAACCTTTGACAAGGCGCGCTGGACGTGGTTCGTGTCCGTGCTAATCGTGCATTATATATGGCCACATTCTTTTATACCTACAATTTGTGGATGTAATACAGACATGAATTGGAATGTCATTTCATCAGCAACATCGCAAAATAAATGTGATCTATTTATTCACAATTTGTGCACGTAGCACAAGTAGCACGGACCACGTCCACGTTCTCGTGCTATAATTTGATCGACAATGTTATAAGATAGACCTGGTAGTACGTAGTTTGTTTTTTGAAAACGTGGACGTGGGGCGCTAGTGTCCGGGGGAGATCGCCGGTCGCGCACCCAAAAAGCCGGCGTGGCCGCTCTCACGCTTCTCTCTGGCCGCGTCCTCAATCTGGCAATTCTGGCATCTATATTTCGCATTGGAAACTACTAACTAGTATGGCGTTTATTGTGAGAGCAGCTGCTTGGGTTATTTGAAAGTACGACTCTTTGATCGTTGAGCAGCCGGTGGAGGAAAGATCGAGAAAATATCACGCTAACGCTAAGCTCGTAATTGTCGAACCTTACGTGTCGCTATTTCTATCATCATTGTTATCATCATCATAATCATCATCATCGCCACTACCACCACCACTACCAGCATTGAAATCATGACGGATCGAACCGAGCTGAGAATGAATGTGGCCGCTTTGAAACGAGTTGATCCCTATGTAAAGGATATTTTGGAAACTGCGACTCACGTCGCTTTGTATACGTTTAACGCGGATGAAAATGAATGGGAAAAGACCGACATCGAGGGCGCTCTATTTTTGTACTCGAGGAATGGCGAGCCATACAACAGTATTCTCATAATGAACAGGTAGTATATACCGAGGTATTGTATATTATCATCTATCTAGGAAATATATCTACTTAGTAGCTAGAAAGATGTAACGCGTTTCGCTTTGCATCGCCAGAGATTCGCACATTATTTTGTGCCCAAGTGTAGTTATCTTTCCTCGCGCATCGATCCTATAATACTAAAAATGTTCATATCAAAAATTTATGTTTGTTACAGATTGAATACAAACAATCTAGTAGAACCGGTTGCCCCAGGTTTAGATTTGCAACTGCAGGAACCATTTCTGCTATATAGAAATTCTAGATGCAACATCTATGGCATTTGGTTTTATGAAAAAGAAGAATGTGTACGCATCGCAAACATGTTGAATAAACTTCTCAAAGAATGTGAAGAAAATCGCAATATCAGTAACAAACCGCTACTCAAGGCTAAAAAGACCTCGGGTTCTAACGTAAACAACATAGACATATTCAGTATGCTTAGCAAGGCGCAAGAGGACTTTAACACGAGCAGAGGTAGCCTCGGAGAAAGCGATAGCGGTAATACGATAACAGGATCAAAGTCTCCATTGGTTATGCCCGACCATATTTCTGGGCCTCTAACTGCTCCCTTAGGACCTGACGTCACTTCGCAAAGTGTAATGGACTTCTTCGCTAAAGCTAAGGTTAGTTAAGTTTTACTTTTGCTGCTCTATTTTTCACATACATTATTTCTCTCATCGTTCATGTCACACTTGTGTGTCGCGACCAGGTGAATACTGGACATTTCAAAGCAGGCGACCAACCAACCCCAGGAAATACGGTTGTGGTCGAGAGTAAACCTTTACTGGCACGTTTAATGTCTCACCCGGCGGCGCATACTTTAGAACATATTGAGAAACAGCAGAGATCAGTTACGCCGCAACCATCTCATCAGTCGCAACCGACAACAATTCCATCGACAAACAAGTCTAAAAGACGAAATAAAGCGACTCCGCAACAGGAATCGATAATATCGACATCAGCACCGATTTCTCAAGATTTGCCGATACCTGTCGCTCAGAACGTCAACGATTCAAACGGGTCGATTGGATTCCTCAGGATACAGTCGCCGACTAACGTAACGTCTTCTACTTTAAGAAATCATCAAGCTTCAAACATTACCAATGCCAACCCACTTGCGTCATTATTCGCTCATGCCTCTGGAAGCACAGTAAGAAAAATTTGAAAAAGTTTTATCTTTCATATATATTAAGCATGTTATATATTTGAAAATCTCTATTTTTTTATTTTTTTTCATTTAAGTCGTCGGACGATATTATTCCGGCGGCTGCGGCGGCGCCCACGTTGTCAGGAAGAGGTTCGGCACCAGCGTTAATACCACCTGTGATGTTTGCCGCTCCTAGCCCACCTGAATCCTTAAACAGACCGTTAGAACCATTAACGAAGAATCAGCTTTTACAAGCGTTCAATTATTTGTTGAAGAACGATCCGGATTTCATCAGCAAACTTCACGAGGCCTACGTCAAATCGTTTGGAGAAAAACTACTTTCTTAAACTTACAATATTATTGTATTAATTACAAAAAAAACCCATCGTATATGGGTTGTGACTGAACAAAAGGGACATGACTAAAAGAATTAAGCTAAATCTCAATATTCCTACATTATGTGTGCATGTACATACATTGACGAGATGTAATACTTGATATTCAATGAGGAGAGATAAGAACCGTTTCTTTTAAAGAAAAGGAAAATTTTTTTTTGGCCGAAGATTAGAAAGCAGATATGGAATAGAAAGCGATACAATATACCTTAAACAGTATTTTTATAAAGCAATGTGCACTTTCTTTCGGGACAAAGTAAAGAGGACAAACGAGCAGGAACTCATAACGAAGTTATGGTAGGAATGAGAAATTGGACTTATTAAAGAAGTGGACTTATTGAATGGTATATATATATCTATATATATATATATATATATATATATATATATATATATATATATAAAATATGGAATTGAATGGCTTTTAAACTGTGATGCCAAAACATTTATATTATACGCGCGTTTTATGATTGAAATTTCAATGCAGCACTCTGTGAAATCCGTTTTTTGAGCTAGCCAAATCATATAAAATACCTATTTTATAGAGTAATGACGTATCCTTCCTATACCGGATACCAATATGGTATGTGTATGTTATCGAGATGAAAAGCAACAAATAAATACAGACAAGATGCAATGAAAAAATACTTAAAATACATTCTATACTTTGACGTTTTTTTTTCTTTTCATTCCTCACAAGTAATATATAAAACAAAGTCTGGGCAGACCTACACGTATTTATTTAGTCATTATGTCGTACTATCACAATACAGTGTTTATATGAAATACGCTTAAAAATATGTATAAAGAAATTATATTATACAATTTCACAAATTAATGGCTGTGACTGAAATCGCAATGGCGACTTGAACGAAAAATTATATCGATCACAAATTTATTTTCTATTATAATAATTCTTATAGGTTATTTGTGAAATGTATAATCTTCCCTTACTTTATTGACGCGATAATTTATTTGTAAATGTATTTACTATTTGTAAATTAAAAATACGTATTAATATTTTTAGGGAACAGAGTTCAATAATCGCAACGTTCTCGCATCGTTATAACGCAATAATATCATCAAATTTAATGTACCATTCAAGATAAAAAATAATAGATACGTGTGATGTGTGTATGTACGCGCGCGCGCATACATACATATCTATATTTACAATCCTACAGCGACACAGAAACATATCATATACTTTGTGTCGTCGTAACGTCATGTTTAAAGGATCGAAAAATCCTCATTCTCACTCTTTGATCTCGCGACAATGTCGACGTGCGTGCCGCGTTGACGTTTCGAGGAAATGCAACGAGTAATACGTTATCATTACGAGATATAATTTACAATAGTTGCTTTCTTCGTAGAATTCACAGCCAAGTAGAGCCTTCGACGGCTCGCTAGCTTTCTAGACAGCGCTTATGGCCGGACTTGATATATGACTCTGGTCTCTGTGGTGGAACCTTGTAAACCTTGCAAACTTTGCATACACTGTCTTATATAGATTTCTCATATGAATGCGTATTGTAAGTAAGAAATCGGAACGGAGTTGAAACAAAATTTAATTGCAATAAAATTACTCGTAAAGAAATCTTATTCGGTCTGTATACTAAACGCAAGAGTTACATACTCGGTAGCCTTCGCTATGCAAACGTATCTGTATGGCACAACTCCGATTTTTTACGAGTCATATACCAAAACTAGCGCAGCCAGCTCTGTTAATTAAACTATTACTTAATAATAGAACACCTCTTATTGGGAGAAATATGTCCGAGGATCGAGAAATTTCTTAAACCAGAGGCACTTTCGGTGGTCCAAGTAAGGGTGGTCCGTTATCGGATGTTCGATGTGGCACAAATTTATTTGTGTTTTGCGCCGGCATAGGCTGAAGCCATCTAACAGCTAGGCTGGCGATCATCAGCAGGACGATGAATCCACAGATAGCCACGATGATCGTTGCTGTCGGGAACCAGCCGTCAGTCATCTGATTTCCGCGGCTGTTTGGATGCAATGGTGCCAAGTACGCTCGCTGATCGCCGATCAATACTACAATCATATTATTAACAGGTAATAAATTAAAAGCAACGTTTAACGAATACGAAGTAGTTTTTCCGAAAGGAGATACTTGTGTAAAAAAAATTTAATTTGGTTGATATTTTGAAAGAATGTTGCAGAAACGTTCTAATTACATATAGCGATATATCTAAGCGCCTGACGAATGGGCGCACATTACGATAATCAACATGACAGATGTGACAGGTGCAGAATATTGAGAATATTCTTAAATAGCATGCGCGCAAGATGAAGGAGAGAAAAGCTGCACTGCTCGTATATCGAACCTCGTAGAGTCTTATTGAGTCTATTTCTCATCGCGGGGCTGTCCACGTGATTACAGAGATCCTGATCGCAGCAGAGAAATCCTGCGGGACACTGGCGACTTTTGAAGCTCTCATCGAGGCAACCGCTGTGAGCAGTGTGCTCCGCTTTCGAAAGCGGCGCATTTGCGTTTGATGGTAATTTTGTAAAGCAACTCCTACCGCGACACATATATCCCTGAGGAACGCATTCCGGTTGATTGCAATAGCATCTTACTTCCCCCATATTCGAAGAATCTGTAACCAAAAACGTCAATCCTGTAATCATAAATAATTTTAGAATTAATTATGTTGAAAGATATTTTAAGATTATACGTCGCGAGATAGCGATTTAAAACGACTTTTTGTTAGAGATTGTTCTATAGAGATAAAGAACATGATCGAAAGGTTCTCGTATATGCGAATATACTCGGTATGTCATAAATATATGCAACAAGGGTAGTCTCCCGGACACACGACTGTGCGTTAATGAGGACCGTATGAAATAAACCAAGAGAAGAAATGCGAGAGAGAGAGAGAGAGAGAGAGAGAAACAGAGACACGAGGCACGTTTATTACGATATTGCGAAGCCATCTTTATTCGTGAGCGTGCTTCGTTTGCCCCAACCCCCGGTCTACCATCTCGCTGGTCTCCCTCTCGCGACCTCGTCTCTTTCTCCACCGGTTTCTTGCTAATAAGCCCGCAGCGATGTGCCTCGCCTGTCTCTGTTTCTCTTTCGCTTGCTCTTTCTTTTGCGAGCGAGCCTTGCGAGTGCCGGCCCCTCTCTCTCTCTCTCCGTTCGCGGCCTGCAATGTCGGGGTCCAGCTCATCGGGGACTAAAAAACGCTAAAACAGCCGACTCACAAAAGAAAGATTAAAATGGAGAGGATGTATGGAGAGAGTGAGGCATGCGGCGCTGCTCCGCGTTGCGCGCATGTATCTTCTCTCTCTTTCTCTCTCTCCTCCCCCCTCCCGCTCTCCTCTACTTCTCGATGCAATTCTACTGATCAAATATTACACGCACAAGAGAAAGAATAGGGCCAATTTATCAATAATTTTATCACGTTCCATTGCAACGATTACATATCGCAAATTAAAAACTTACACATGGTCTGAAAAGTTATAAGGATGTTTCAGTTTCACGTCTCAAAGTCAGAAATATATCCCGATAAAAAAATAAGATTTCTTGTTTATATTTTTTGCCATTCATTTTAGCAAGTTATTTTATCAAAAAAATACAAAATATTATTCTTTCTATCACATATCTCACTACCAAATGAATAATTAAAAATCGACAAATTTTTCGTTCTTAAAATTAATCACCTTGGTAAAGTTTTTCCTCCAGATCTGTATCTATAATGTGTTTGTATGTAGATGTAATACTTGAAACATATTTTTTTTTAACGTATAATATTTTGAAACGTACCGTAAAACGGTTGAGTCGAAATAAAGAACAGTAGCCTTCCAAAAGAAAAATTCAAAGAGGCCATCGAGGCACAATCCCATACGTGTGTGGACGTTTAAAATAAAAAGGGAAAAGGGGAAGAGGAAGCAGCGGGAGGTCGAGAAGCCCGACTGAAGAGAGATACGACCGACAAGCCTGAGGCCGGGCCGGGGAAGAGCCATCCGAAAACAAACAGACTGCATCGCAAAGTCGTTCGTTATGCGTCTACGGTATATTAATTATTCCCCAGCCCGGTCCAGCTCGATCCAGCCTCGGTGCGGCGACGTATCCTCTCTCTCTCTCTCTCTCTCTCTCTCTCTCTCTCTCTCGCTCTCTCTTCGCGCTTGCATTTCTTTTTTCGTTCCTTCGGCCTATTGAACCCCACCGGCGAGACTGACGTGAACGACGATCAATGAATATCGAACGTTTCATCGATTTTTTTATTGTAATCGTGTGCAATGTTCCACATTGATTTCCATTCAGCAAAAGGAGTAAATAATATAACGTACAATTTTTAACGCTGTTTGACTATAAACAAAAAAAATTAGCTTTATTCCAAAAGCTCATTCAAGCAATCAAGAATACATTTTAATTGTGCAAAATATATTTTTACAATTTTCCTTTTCATAACTGTACTCGCGGTCATTGCCCATTGTTATAAGATAGCGAGACGATACTATTGGAAAATATCGATAAATAATTGACAATACTATATCGTATATGCGCAAGTACGATGAAAGATCGTTTGAAAGATAAAAAAATGCATTCGAATTAAATTGGTGATATTCAGAAGAGCGCGGCACCGAGCTCTGAAGTCCGAAGTTCGCATGAGAATAGAAAGCGCGGTTAGACAGAAACTCGATTCGAACGAGCATCGTTTGTATGTATGATGTAGTACGTACATACATACAATTAGAAGAGCGACGATCTGACCATGTGTGCGTGTACATATACGCCATATGTAGGATGTATCTAAAGTGTACGTCGGATCAGTGTCGACTAATGTCTACCGCACAACGATGAAGCTAACGAATCTCTTCAAGTATATCTATGTAACTCACAAGAATATTACGTAACGTCTTGCATAAGTACACTGCAAACTCTCTATATTGAATCAAATGCATTTTTAGCAAACGCGCTTTTCTAACTAGCCGCTACCGAGTGCGGTAACAGTAATTAGCATGAGAGCGAAAACAAATTGCACCATTCGAAACCTCCGTTTCACAATTAAGGATAACGAAAGAATTGCGAATTTATGCACAATATGTATATATGTATAGTGATCTCGGAATACTTGATTGTGATTAAAAAGTCGAATTATCAGATCAGAATTGACATGACACATTCGCACCATTTTTTTGTTACCATCGCGTATTCGATCGATTTGAATCGTATATCGGTATATTCTTAAAAGCTCGGTATTACGCGAGCTTTTAAGGATGCGGAAAAGTATGGTAGATACCTTACTGGAAACCAATAGAAATATTAACGCGATTATGATTAGAAATGAATGGAAAACTGAAAAATAAAATAGAGAGTGAGTTCCGACGAAAGCGTCGAGACACCTGTATTTGTATTTACGAGTAGAAGGGGTTACCCGCAAAGTTATGCGAAAAGGAAAAAAGGACGGTCGGCTCATCGTCGTGAAAAGGCGAAAGACGAAATTAAGGAGTGATCGAAAGTCGAAAGAGCACTGCTTATGAAGAGGCTGCAGAAGAGGACCGGTCTGCGAGAAGAAGCTCATCCTGCTGCAGCGAGTCGTGAGAAACGTTTTCAGTCGAGTGATGCGCACTTCGAATTTCAATGAAATTAACACGCCTAGAACAATCCTACAATATTCCAAGTAATTTCATTCAAGTTTTAGAAAACGTTCAGAATATTAATTTTTCGTCACGCGACATTATTTGCAGGAAGGAACCGAATCATTTCGTCAGACAGCAACTTTTGCGATGCCTGAGACTGAGCGATCCATCGAGTTGGTTTATTTCATTACCTGAAATATCGGTCGAATAAATCGTCAGCTGTCACAGTAACCTTAGAGCTAAAGGTAAAGTTCTCATATAATCCTATACGCGTAAAGAGGAAGGTTCGAAAAATGCTTTGTCGTCTCACAATATGTATAACACAAAGTATAAACAAATGCCACCGAGGGATTAGAAACCGCGCGCCTAAACTGCATATCTGTTTAAAAGGGAAACAGGTTAAGAGCTGAAATATTTTCGCTACACGATGAATCTTCCTTGGAGCGAGGAGAGGAGAGGAGTGGAGAGGAGAGGAGAGGCGTGGGACGATCCGCCTGATTCTGCTTGCCCGGCTTTCGGCTAATTTTCGTTTCACAAAGGTACAGTATCGAAGGTGGTATTTGCGTTGGGACTTGTAACTATCGAGCCAGACTCTATTCGACCATTACGCGGAGGAAGGGAGAGAAGGGACTTGAGACGCGATTCGAGAAGCGAGTGAATGCCGCCGCTGAGCGGATGGTTACGGCGGGGTGGCAATTAGCAAGAACAATGGAGAGCCGGGGTCCTTGTTCTGGGAAGTAGGCGGAGGGCCTCACTCCGGGGGCCCTGCCATTCCATTGGACAGGGGCCAGGTACGTGTATCTAAGGCATCCCAAATATATAGCATACCGGCCGGCGCGGCGCGGCGTAAGTATATACACGATCCCGGCGTTTCGGCGCTAGAAGACAGGCTCTTGATGTTCCCGAGCCTCAGCAACCCGGTGATTAGCCCTACTTAACTCGGATATGCGGACGCGACGCGAGCGGCCCCATCGGCAAGTAAAAGGCATCCTCATCAATTATATGCAATTGCCAAATTGCTCCAAATTACACGCGTTGCCTCACGAAGAGAAACGCAGGGCCCTTTATGATAATTTTCGTATTTTTTGCGGAGGCAACCTGCGCGGCAGACCGCGACCATCTTTGATTATCGCTCGCCGAAAGCGCTCGTGATTAGCTCGAGATTCGAGCTAATTAAACTTTAAATTTCAACTTGCATCACGAGTCGCGACCCGCGAGCATCAAGGGTGCGTTAAGCGCGGCTCGAAGAATGCCGAAGATAGTATAATTTAATTTCGATTTTGACTTTACTTTTCTTTAGAAATTTCGCAATAGATTCGTCCACGAAACATCTTTATCTATCTACTTAACTATCTACAATTCTACAGAATTTACTAATTACCGCGCTCGGATGACAATCCCGAAGAGATGGTAAGTTTTTACATGATATACGCGTAAAGAGATCAGAGTTATTAATTTATTTATAATATATTCACTTACGCGGTCAAATGGTTTATACGGATCGAGTAATTAAATTGCCTGCAATTATCGCGCGCGGCAATTGTTCTCTATAGTGTCACACATCTGTTTTCCTGCGATCAATCCAATCAATATTTCGCGATTATCATCTCTTATCGTGCGCGTATCGTGATGAGATAATATTTAATTTTTCTTATTTTCTCTATCTTTTGTCATCGCGCTCGCGCGTGCGCGCGCGAAAGCAATGCCGGCGAAAGCGTATGCGCCGCATGGCATGCAGTCCATGAAACGAAACGCCTCTTTAACGGAATAATGTCCCTTTGTTCCAGCACGTTTGCGTGCGTAATTAGTGCGAGAATCAATGACTCGCTCGTCAAGACCAGCTGGCGCCTATATAGCCGATGCTAAACCACTGGGTCTAATTGCGCGAAACAAATCGTCAACCTCAAATATGCGTCGAGCATGGCAGCGAAACGTGCATGTTTCCGCGTTTTCTCCTTCCTCCCGACTCAAAAGGACGAGAGTACGGTCATAGCAGTACAGTCAATTTTAA